CTTTCCCTTTCAGTCCACGGTTGGGAGCAGGGGGAGAATACAAGTGACTATGTACTTATTTAAAAGAAAAGCAGCAGCATTTTCAGCCTGGTTTCTAAAGAACACAATCACGCTGCCTCTGGCTGCCTGTGCCGTAACCCACTAGATAATTTCAGTAAAATCAGACAGAAAGGAGTGTCCCAAAGGCTATTCAGTTCCTACAAGAGCCTTGGAAATAATCTCTCTCCTCCACCCACTTTCCTATTAGCTCATCACAAAGAAACAGGCTGTGGTGTGAGCTCAGTGCTTATCAGTAGGAAACTGGGCTTCAGCAATTCTGCTGCTTGTGGTATTTTGCTCCAGTAAATAACACCACGTTGGAGACTTGGTTTATCACCTATAGAAAATCTTCTTGTGTTTTTCATTCAGGAAAACAAAGCTTCACTCCCACTAACAAAGCCTCTGAGGAAGTGTCAATTTTGGGGAATCACAATCTCTGGGGTTCAGTGGAGAGGACAGAGCAACCATCTGGAACAAAACCCACCTCACCCTCACTGTATCCCAGGCCATGTTTCTGCTGATTAGAAAGGAGATGCCACATATGCTTGCACAACGCTGCACAAATCCTTCAACAAGCTCCGGGAGATGAGCTCATAAGAACTAAGGATCACTCCTTCAGACATGAGAGCTTTTCTGTCCTCAACCCCAGCTATGCATTCCCTCAAGGGGTGGTACCTTTGGTAAGAGATGAGGTGGGATGTAGCAGTCACAAGTAAAAATCCAAGTGTGACATTTAGAAGAGGCTTTGGTGGTATTCAGAACAACAGCCATTTGCACACATCGGGTCCTGCACTCACCTCCTCTGTCACAGTTTTGAGGAGAAAGTTTAACAGCTCGAAGCTCTTGGCAAGTTTCTCTTTCTCAGCCTTCAGGATACACTTGCCAACCATCTTCAAACTCTGCAAACGAAACAAGAAGATTGACATGCAGCATAGATTAAACAGGAAAAAGCATCACTCCTCTCAGGAGAAAGCAGAAAATGAGTAATGAATTGCAGGATTAATCTGTCACCAAAATAACCCTGGAACACAACAACCACCAAACCTTGGAAATGCTCAGGAGGGTACATGGTGGGCACTGCTGATACCCAGCTTAATTGAGAAACAACTGGACAAAAGAAGAACAAGCAGACCACAAACACACACTCTTGCTGCTCTCTAGTTCCTAAGCTAAAGCATAACTGGAGAGGTGTTGCTGTCTCCTAGAGAACAAAGAGTAAAGACAGCATCTCTATCCCCACCCTGGAAAGGCCAGGAGGCTGCCAGACAACAGACACACCTGAGGGATAACATGTTGCTGCTCAGCTGCAGAAGCTGGGATTTACACATAAGCACTAATGCAAAAATCCATTAACACTTCTGCTGAGGAAATCCCAGTTGCCACTATTACAACAGGGCCTGTCAATCAAGCTTAAATTCACTGAAATGACCGAGAGAAAAACCTCATCTGCTTTCCCTTTATGTGCTGGAGGCTTTCTGAAACACTGAAAGGTCTGGCTTAGACAAAAATCACTCCAAAGACAGGTCAAATAAAAGCCAGTTATTTACAACTGGAGAAGGGAACAAAATAGCCATAAAAAGGTGGCTGGATCAAAGAGGTGGCTCAGGGGTGCTGATCCTCTGCCTGCAGCTGGTCCTTGCAGCCCAGTTACATGGTGGTTTTCTTCCCTGCTCTGTTTCTGTGGGGATGCACACACCACAGCAAGCCCCACAGCTTGCATGGATTACACTAATATCAGATAGGATTTGCAGGGACAAGCTTACCGTAGACAGCAGTGTGCCCCACCACAGGCTATTTCTCTACAGAAGGCTGCACTTGTGGCCAAGCCTGCCTTTGCATGGAATCTGAACACGCCAACCCAGCCAACGGGCAAGACCTACCCCAGGCTCAGCATCCTCAGTTCCTCTGGCAACCTGTATCACTGACAAACCACTGCACCAAATCTCTACCCAGTGCTGGAAGGCCACGGTTCTCCAGGAGAGGCAGTCTCTCCCATTAGACCATTTATTGCTTTTGCTCCATTTTAAGGAAGTAATTTTAAGGACTCTGAGCAAATCATTTTCCATTTATGTCACCATAAAGCTGACAAATAAAGTAAAAATCCTCACCAAAAAAAAAAAAAAAAAGTAAGAAATGTATTGCCCAAAGCAAGGTCTTCAATAATTGTGCCCACAACAGGCAAATAATGACGCCCAGCAAGAGCATAAGGACCTCTTTTAGCAGATACAACTATTTTCTGACCAGGATGGTCAGGAAGCAGCCAGCCATCCCCATGTCTGTACAGCATGGACGTGGTAACCATTTCCTTGGGGTCAGCAGCACAGAAGATGGTTTTACTTCTCCTGTCGGTCTGTCTGGACCCTTGGATAAGAAGTGGAAAGGGAAGGACTGCAGCTCTTCTCTGGTTTCCGAGGTTCTCCTGTTGCCTGTATTAGAAAGCCACCATGTTCTGCTGGCTGGAATTCATACCACAGCTTCATCTGACTACCAATAACTTGCTAATTACTCTCCCCTGATAAAGAGAGATGCACTGCAACTCTATTCCAGACCTGCCATTAACTAACAAGGTCAAACAATTCAACAGCTCTGAAGTCTCAGGTAAAATGAGAAACAAATAGAGGGGTGTGATTAAAATATAAATAAATCTTCACATGTAGGATACAACTCTCCATGGGCCGTGCACATTCTGTTCATTAAGCTTACCACAAGAAATAATCATAACTATAATTATTAATAATAATGTAGAAAAATATGATTTGCATTAAGATTTTCCTTGCAATTTGATGAACAAGATATTGCCAGGCTAACAGGCATTACTTGTGGTTAAAGCTGTCAGGGAGATCCTTACTTTGCTAAGTTGTGTACATGTTGTGTGAGAGAACATCAGTACGGCCTGTCAGCTCTTCAGGACAAGAGGAATGAGGGCAGCTGTGTGCGAAGGAGCCAAAGTGAAGGCAACTGTCATCTCATCTTTCTAATATACAACCTACAACCATTTTAGAATTAAGGCATTAAAAATAAATTGCATTTTCTCCCCACCACAGATCAGTGATGTAGATGACCGCATTTAAATCACACTGGCTTGACTGCCTGTTCCTGCTGCCTTCCCTGCTTCCCAGAATCGCCCTGATGCTTTGAAGGGTTTGAAACAAATCGTCCTAACATCAAGAGAAAAGCCCTATAGCCCTGAACAACAACCCAGGGGCTGATTTTCACAAGTCTGCAATTGCTTTTCAAGTGCTGTGAAACTGGGACGTGCCCACCCAAACTCATGCAGACCTGCAGAACTAAAAGGGTGGCTTGCCCAGCTGGAGAAGGAAGGTATCACCGGTCTAGCGACATCAATGCTGTAAGAATAAGCATCTATATTAAAAGCCGTGTTTTGCATGAGTCTGGAAACACAGGCACAGTTCCACCAGCATAAATAGCCAGAAGCAATCCAGCACAATTTAGGTGATCTGCAAACAAATAGCTCCTTACTGAAATGGATCACTTTTAAATAGCTTTTAAGACCAGGAAGGAACAAGGAAGAGGATATGAGTGGGTGGCGAAGCCAAAGGAGCAGCAGACAATTCCCAGAATGCACAACTCTCTCTAGTCCAGAAGCAGAATGGATTTGCTTTAAGGAAACTGGATTCAGATAAAGTCTTACTATTTCTCAACACGTGCCTTTTCCCTTTCCCTTCTTGTAAAACTGAGGCTGTAAAACAAATTGACTCCAAAGAGCACAAAAACACCAGCACCTCTGTACGTGGTATGGTTGAGACAAACAAGCCTCCTCAAAGACTTGAGTCCAATTCCTGCTCAGCTCCTGATCTCACCACCACTGTCTCATTGTGCCTTCCATGACACACTAATGAGATGGGATCTTCTGTCACGAGTCGCTTCATTCTCATCCTCCCATAGCAGGGAGTGCACACAGCAGAGCACTTGCCTCCATGGGATTTGCATTAGCGTTCAACATCAGTACAAGCCAGGCTGCACTCTGGTTATGTAATAGCAGCTGACTTTGGACCTGGCACAGCTTTGGGGTACTGCTTCCAAGGAATGAAATTCCCAAGTCACTTCAATGGGAACTGGGTCCAAACTTCAATTATTGTCATAACTTCTTGCTACATAAGGTATGGACCATTGTCTGCATGCTGTGGGTTCACAGAGCAGGATTGCTTTGGTCTGCTCCTCACTCAGCTATCTGAAAGATGCCACCCCAACTGCACAGGTCAATCATTCTGCAGGCCTACCATGATTTCATTTGGGGAATGTACGCAATACAATCACAAAATTAAAGTAAAAGCCACTCTGGTAACAGATGTCAAACTGCAACACATAGTAAACATGCCATAAAAAGAACAGTAGTGTTTCAGTCATCTGCAGCATCCTTAGGAGAGCCTCAGAAACTGATTAGATCACAATAGTCTTGCACAAGGTTGGCAACTATCTCCATTTTACATAGCAAGACTGAGGCACAAAGCATGGGTTTTCCTTCCAGCTATGCTACAGGTCAGTGGTGGAGGGTTAAGGGAAAACCCAGAACTCGTCTAACCACCTCTTCTGTGATTCTCTGCCATGTGCTGCTCACAAAGGTATCCAGCTCTCCCTTCCCCTGCCCTCTGAAAGTTCTACCAACCTGAGATAACCCAATCACTCAATGCTAAAAGCAGAGAGACCACATAACTTGTGCTCAACAGCTACATTGCACCACTTGCTGCTGATGTTTGTTTTCTCCTACTTCCTGCTTCTCTTACTCTGCTCCTTCAGTAAACAGCCAGACCCACTTCACAGGGAATCTCAGTTCCAGTTCCAGCTCAGTAATACCTGTTATGGTTAATCATGCCTGTACATCTGAGCTGTCAGCAGATCTAGGCAGGTCATTTTCCAAAAGAGAAAAATACGGAGGCAGTTTTCACAGCTGGAAACCCCATCTCATCTCAAGCCAATACAGCAGTGCAGTTCCTGCTTCGCCCTACACGGATTCAGTGGGCACAGATGCTTTTGTCTTGTTTTGTTAAATATGCTGCTTCCAAAAGCCTCTGGCTGTTGCTGTTGAAGGGCTTCTCTGCTTCCCGGGGTTCTACAAGGATGCACACCCGCTGCATCTTATCAATCGTCTTATATTCCTAATTCCTGTATAACACATGGAGGTATCCCAACTACTGCAGGATCCAACCTCTATTCCATCTCTCATTGAACTTCACAGCATACTTTCACCTTCACAAAGTATAAACCAAGTTTTTTAGAGCATAGTAGGTGAATACCTGCAGTAATTGAGTCATACAAGTAGGACAGAGGGCTAGCAGCTAGTTAAGCACACAGCACCATGCCTCAGTTTCCCAGGTCGGTAGGATTTTAGTCTAAGCCAAGGACTCCCCTGAAACTTGCCATACATCAAAAATGGTGCATGCACGTCTAGAGCCCAAGTCAGCATCCCAGCCACTGCCTGAAGTTTCCTGCAGGGAAGATGGCAATTTGCTGTTGCATGGAGCCAGGCAATGTTTCTGGCAGCCTCCACATTCACCCCCCACCTGCAACCTCATCCTGCCTGCACCTCTGCCCCTTTCAAAGGTACTATAGTGGAGGGGATACACTTAACCCAGACTTACAAGACAAAGCAGGACCTCCAGAGTGCACAGGAGTGTTCTGCTACCAAGGCACAAGCACATTTCCTAGCTGGAAGTTTAAATGCCATTTAATATTTATGCATTCCCAGCACGTCCTTCAGCCTATTTCATTGTTGAAAACAAACAGCCCTTCCCCTCCGTGGGATCAGCCTGACAGATCCATCACTGCTCAGTGAGCTGGAGGAGCCCAGCCAACCTGCATTCTTTCCACACACTGCACTATCTACATCCTTCCCCCTCCTCCCCCATCACAGACCTGATGCTGATGGATAAATGTGCAG